GACATTGCTCATATTATAGTAATGTTTGTTTTTTTCCTTCATTACTCTTCCAATAATGATGATGAATATATGGCATGCACGGCTTGGCCATATTGGCCAACAATGAATGAATATACTAGTAAGAGAGACTTGTTAGGATCCTTAACAAAAGTAGACTTGACTACTTGTGAACATTGCCTAGCTGGAAAAACAGCGAAAACCATTTGAAAAAGCGATAAGCATTGAAGTTCCATTGCACTAATTCATTCTGCATATGTGGTCCAATGAATGTAAGGGCTAGACATGGGGCTGCTTTCTTCCACATTTGGATGATTCACTCGATATGTGTATGTTTTCTTGATTCTCAAAAAATCAGAAGCTTAGAATGCTTTCAGAAGTTTAAAACTTAGTTGAAATCAATTAGATAAAAAGATAAAGTTCTACGAACCGATCGAGGTCATGATATTTATCTGATCAGTTCATAAATTTTTGTGATGAAATGGGAATAGAACGTTTTAACTATTCCAGAACTCTGCAACAAAATGGTGTTGCAGAACAAGAATAGAATCCTACTTGAAATGGTAGGTCTATGATGGCACAAGCAAACTTGCCCATCACCTTTTGGGGTGATGCCTTTTGACTGCCACATATATCCTCAATCGAGTACCCTCCACATCTATTACTACTACACCATATGAGTTATGGACAAATCGGAAACCCATATTTGAGTCTTTTAAAGCCTATGGATTGTGTTGCCTATGTTCATGATTCTTCCATAAATATGGAAATTAGGTCCAGGGGGTAAAAAAATTATCTTCATAAGATACTCGAACATTCAAATGGATAAGTCTTCATAGGAGAACAAGAAAGGTAGCATCACTGAGTTTGAATCACGAGATGTCCCATTCTTAGAACCCAATTTCTCAAGAAGGGCGAGATAGATAAAGACTTATTTCTATATGAACACACAAGACCAAGGAATTCTTTTGCCGACAATCAGTTGGTTAACTACATCACAGTGGAGCGATATGGAAGTTGATGAATCGGTTTCAGATCCTCCATCATTCCCTACTGACGATCCAACTATGAATCTGTCCAAGTGGGAGTAACACAAAACAATCTTTAATACGTCGATCAAACGGGAAACAAGTTCCATGTCGATGATTTGAGATTGAGGGAAATTTTTCTAGTTACTCCCACAAGATAAGAAGAGCCAAGGAATGTAATGAGGCTCTCAATTGCCCTTCTAAGAAAAATGGATGAAAGCAATGGAGAAGAATGGATTCTATAGAAATCAAACCAGTACATGAATTCGTTGATTTACCAAAAGACGCAAAGCCATTGGGAACAAGTGGGTCTCAAAATCAGCATAAAGCTGATGACAGTATTGAAAGATACAAAACTCGCTTAGTCGGAGGGGTATACACAACAAGAAGGAATAGATTATAAGAAACTTTTTCGCCTGTTGTGCGTTTTTACCCCATCCGACTTATCTACTATAGTTTGCTAGCATGGATCATGAATTGCATCAAATGGATGTAAAGCTGTTTTTCTCATGGAGAATTACAAGAAGAAATCTATATGGAACAACTAATAGTTTTATTAGAAGGTCAAGAACAAAGTTGTGTAGACTTTTAAATCAATTTACGGCCTCATGCAGTCCTCAAACAGTGGTATATTCGATTTCATAATGCGATAATGTCGTATGATTTCAAAATGATAGATGAAGATCACTGTGTAATATACAAAGATCCAATAACAATTTGTTATATTATCATTATTGTTGATGATATACTTATAGCTGAAATGATAAGGGATTTGTCAATGAAATCAAAGTGGTTATCTCTCTTTGAGATAAAGATATGGGTGAAGCCGCAATATTCTTGGAATCAAGATTTCAAGAGATCGCTCAAGAAATTAGTATCTCTTTCACAGAACCATCATTAAGAAAATTCTTGAACGATTTCATATGCAGATTGTAAACCCATAGACAACCCTATCGCGAAAGGTGAGACTTTGAGTCGTAAAATGTGTCCGAAGACTTCACAAGAAAAGGAACAAATGATAATGTTCCTTATACAAGTGCTGTTGGAAGTCTCATGTACGCCATGTTGTCATTAGAGTCGACATCTGTTATGCTGTTGGGTTGTAAGTAATACGTCCGACCCGGACAAGCACATTGGAAAGCAGGTGAAAGAAATCTTAAGATCTAAAAGGAATACATAATCCTCATTATTTTTCAAGAAAATGATTTACACTTGAGAGGCTCCACCGATGCTGATTGGGGAGGAGATTTAGATTAAAGGAAATCTACTTCCGGATATGTTTTCTTACTAATTGTTGGGGCCATATCTAGCTTGGAGCAGTAAGAAACATCATGTATAGCTTATCTATCTACAATAGAGCTGAGTTTGTAGCATTTTCAGTTGCAGTGCAAGAAGCCGTTTGTGTTGAGACGTTTCATGAATCATCTGGGAATATTAATGTTGCTATTGAACCAGTAAGAATAAATTGTGATAGTCAAGTGCAATAACATATACTAAGGATCCCAAATATCATGGTAAAACGAAACACATAGATATCAAAATATTTTGTGCAAACTTGGTGGCACAAAAAGGTGGAACATGAAGTAATATTTACGCATGACATGGTTGCGATCCATTCACAAAGCCTATACCAAGAGATATTTCAATATACATGTTAGATCTCTAGGCTTATGTAGGTGTGAATGTACTCATACTTTGAGATTTCCAAAAATGTTCACATTTGTCTTTCAGTATTAAATACCTATTGTCAATGCTCAATTTCGATTATTATGGAACATACATGGGAGTTTATATATATATATAATATATATATTATATATTATATATATATTGGTTGTGTAAATATTATATATGTCATTTTGAAAAGCATGTCGGTATTAAGATTGACCTTCTTACACAGGCAATCGCCTCCATTACTTGTAGGAATGGAGATGAGAACGATTTTAAGCTATTATCTAGGTGATAATAGAGAGCCAAGCTTAAATGTTTAACGTCGCCTTAAAAAAAAAAAATAGAATTAAAATAATGTCATAATAATGTGCAGTTGTAAATGATCATTATCTTCTGATTGCACAATATTAGAGTTCTGATGATTAAAAGTATGTAAAGTGAACTCAAGTTAGACATGTGCTGTGTCATTCGAACTAAAATCTGTACTTCATTTACAAGAAAAGACATGCACTCCTGGAAGAGGAACTGCTGTAGCATGTATTCATACCACATGTGCAACGATGACCAAAGGGGTAATGAAAGTCAAAATCTCAACTTTAACATTGTGTGAGACCCTGAGTTTTTAAGAATAAAATCTCATAGAATACCCTTATTACTCTATTCTGTTTCTTGAAAACCTCATTTAATGATTGCTATTTTAGAGTGTTACCAAATGATTAAGATAAATTCAATCTGCTGGATATTTCTAGAAAAGCAAGTTAAATGAAAGTTGCAAGAATCGAGAAAAGAGGAAGATTACGTTTTTGAATTATCACATTATAATCATGTGTATTCATTGGTCGACCAATTATGTTTTACTTTTATGTAAAGACAAAACATAATTATGAATACAGCAGATATTTATTATAAATGAGATTGTTAGAAAAAATGTGATAAGTAATCTAGGGTATTGCATACAATATACAACATAAGTTTCACAATTCGAGAAGTTATATATTCCTAACAGATATATGACTAATGTGCTCTCGAAGTATGCATGGTTACACGACATATTTACTAAAGTATGAACCTTAAAGAAGCACAGAGAGAGATAGTCTCATCATGTGTGAGTGGGAGATATTGGATAAGGGTGCACCTATGATGGATTAACCCAAGCGGCGTGTGAAGCGGAAACTGCCAAAGACAGTTTCTCACTAATCGCCGCCCATATAAAAGAAAAGTTTTTTTTTTTTTTTTTTTTTTTCTTTTAGAGAAAGATACACACCAATATACACAAAGATATACACGCTCTCTCTCTCTAAAAATTGAAAAAGAAAAATACTCTATGTGGTTTTCTTCCAGATTCAATTTTTGCTTCAGAGTTAAGGAGAAGAGGTACTTATGCTGTGTAAATACATTGTAATTCGTTTATATACAAAATGTGATTACAATGGATGACTATGAACATGATCTTGAGATTAGTTTAGAATATTTGTTATTCTGTGTTTTTTCCAACACAACTAATTTTCCAGGATTTTGAAACTGCTAACCAGATAAAAGCTCTAATGGCCACCCCTATTAGCAACTGAAGAGGAACTCGAATTTAGGATCTCTTGAGTAATACATCCAAAAGTCCTTATTGAACCACTTGAGCACCCAGGGGTTGGTTAAATGACATTATGTTGCTTTCTTACAATCTAATTGAGAGGAGTTTTTTTTTTTTTTTTTTTTTTTTAATCTTTTTGTAAGTTTTGTGTTGGTGGTTGTTTGATGAATAGAACTGAAAAAGTTTCTTCTGTTATCAAAGGGGCTTTCAATAAAAGCCCAAAAAGTTTTAGGCAAGAAAAACACTTTTAAAAAATGAGTGATTTAGGAATAATATGTGCACTAAATTATTTAGATTTATTTTATCATATTTTAGGATAATTGTTTGATAAATTAAAACCAAAATATAGTGAAGATTAATCTTCCTTTTCAGTTTTTCGTTTGAATGGACTTCTCACGTTATTCATTTATCCTTTATTTTGGCAGTTTTATTTTTTAAATATCAAATTTATAGGACGACTTATTCTGCTCCAAGTTTCAAGTAAAGCCGTCCAATTCAGAACACGTGTTGGTTGTGAATATAACACAGTCAAAGTGTTTAAATAAATAATTTGAATAATTAATTTTATAAAAAACAATTAAAAAGTTTTTTTTAAGATATATGAAACTGTGACTAAAATATTAAAATTTGAAAAATAAATATAAGATTTTTGGTCTAAAAGAAAAAGGTTAAGGGAGGGAAAAGCAGTTTCTCACAATTATGATCACATGGAAGAATAGAGATAAGTGGATCTCAATTCCCAAGTACATGTGGCAGGCAGTCGTTAGATTTTCTCAAATCTCAAAAACTATTCTACTTCATCACTCTAACTCCATAATTGCAATCAAACACTGATTCAACTTCACCTCATTATCATCAATGGCTTCCTCTTCTTCTTCTTCTCTCAGACTAAACAATCTTTTATTATCTTCTTCTCCTACTCTCAAATTCAAACCATCTTTATCCTCATCATCTTTTTCTCTCCTTTCATCTCCATCAAAACTCCCTTCTTCTTCTTCTTCTTCTCTCAGACTAAACAATCTTTTATTATCTTCTTCTCCTACTCTCAAATTCAAACCATCTTTATCCTCATCATCTTTTTCTCTCCTTTCATCTCCATCAAAACTCCCTCTTATTAGAACCTCACACTGGCATTCCTTCCCTGTTAAAGCCGCCTCCCCTTCTTCCACTGCCATTGCTGAGCCTGAAGGCATCAAGGTTCACTATCATTTTCTCTCTTTTTCTTTTCTAAAAAAAAAATTGAAAATTAAAAACTTATTTGAACGTATTTCAGATTAATTCCGTGCCTACTAAGCCGATCGAGGGCCAAAAGACTGGAACCAGTGGTCTACGAAAGAAGGTAAAATTTTTATCTTGTTTTTGAAATGGCTTATGTTTTGCTTTTATTTGTTTTCTTGTTCTTTGATTAAATTTGAAATGAATTTGATTGAAGTAGAGTAGTTAATTAGATTAAAGTAATATAAGTGTTGTGTTGGATGAAGATCATATTTGATCCATTTTACTTTATTTTTTAATTTTATAGGCAATGGACTGGAATTCGGTTTTGATGTGTTGTTCACTTTATTCAAATTTGTGCTTTGTAGGTTAAAGTTTTCAAAGAAGAGAATTACCTCGCAAATTGGATCCAGGTTTGAGAATTTCAATTTTTTTTTTTTTTTTTTTATGACATTGATTGTATTTAGTGCATGATAATGAATATGAATTGAAATCTTATATGCATAGGCATTGTTTAATTCATTGCCACCGGAGGACTACAAGAATGGGCTTTTGGTATTAGGAGGAGATGGTCGCTATTTTAACAAGGAAGCTTCACAGGTAAGAGTTTGTATTGGTTGATTAAAGTTACTAGTTTAGTATATTCCGCTCATGTATTGGTACATATGAGAATCAGAAAATACTATTTATATTTTGTTATGCCGGTTTGAATTTGAAATGCAGATTATAATCAAAATTGCTGCGGGGAATGGTGTTGGCAAAATTCTGGTTGGCAAGTAAGTTATTTAATTTGTTTAAGTTCTTTATGATATAGCTGACATTGTTGAATATCACTGTAAAGCAAATCTTTTGAGACACTCTTTCTGGAACAAAGAATTAGTATATTTGTTGCGATGAGTAATTGTTGTGGTGGATGAGAATTTTGTTGTCTTAATCAATTTAAATTAGGCCAACCTTTAATTAGTCTATTAAAGGACATATAACATTATTGAATAAGCATACTTGCATATAGTATGTGCAATGGCTGATGAATTTTGTTTAATAGTTTTGAAGTAATATCTGGTCTGCTTCATTGCAGTTTACCATTACGGAATAGCTCATCTACTAGATATTTGTCCTTTAATGTCCGTCGTCTTAACAGAGGATTTGCTGAAGAAGTGATGGACATCTTTCCTACCTGATCTGAATGCACTTTTGCAATGTGATATTAGATCTCTCCTCCATTGTTTATAGGGTTCCTCTCCTCTCTCCCCGCTTAAGGTGCCTGGATACCATTTTTTATCTTCTTAGGTATTGTGTATGTCGCCTAAACAGAGAGATTTCTTAACCCCATCCAACTCCAAATTAGAGATATGCCAGAATTCCTAGGCAATTACATGTGTTTTGGGTTATTGAGATGGTTTCAGTATGTTTAGCCTGTCTGTTATCAAGTTATAAACTAGACAGCGAATGAGATGTTTAGAATAGAGATTCTAAATTTATGCAACATCCACCATCGGCTATTATCTACTTTAAAAAATGTGAAGAACTACTGTATTCCTATGTTTTTATGTGACTGCCAACAAGGTTGTCTTTTACTTTCTCGACTGTTCCACTAGTTATGGCTTCTCTACCTGCATGTGTTTGCAGAGTTAGCTGTTTGATATAGTTGAATATGCATTACTGTTTTTACCTCCTTGTAGATAAACATGTATTCATTGTACTAAAATTACAAATACTCACTCAAAGATTGCAGTGTCATTGCATTGTATAGCTAAATTAAAAGTTCTATAATTTTTTAAAATCATATAGATTTAAGAAAATTTTACTCTATGAACTTGACCAAAAAAAAAAAAAAAAAAAGAGAAGTGCATAAGTTCTTCTTTTTAAGTCACTGTTTTATCAATGAATTTGAATTTTCCGTATATATTGCTCTATCCTGCTATAAAAAATTATGCATGTCACTAATGTAATAAGCATTGAAGTAGAGGTTATAAAAAACTTTTGTGTACACGTATATGGCTTATATCCTTTTCAACTTATTCTGAAATTCCTGTCTTAAACGACAATTTGGTTAGTTCTGCCTTTCATAAAGTCTAACAAATAAATTAAAGGAAGAGAGAGAACAGAAAATTGCTATCATATGATTTTGCATCCTCCCTGCCCATTATATCCAGTAACCTTTTGACTATAATAGGAGAAGTTGATGGGTGGTGGGTTTTCTGATCTCCAGGGGAAAGATGAGAACCTAGAACAGTATTTTGTTGATTTTTCTATATAAAAGAAGTTCAAATAAAGTTTTTTGTGCATTCAAAAACATAAAACCGTATCTTTTATAAATAGGTGTGATGGAGCATCATGCGGCTTTGTTAACAGTTTTGGTTCTCCTAATCTCCTTAACTAATACTGCTTCCAATATAATGGTATCAACATCTTGTAATATCAAACCTATTTGTTGCTGCAACTTTCTTGATTCTGGTTTCTGTGTGAAATATTAAATGGGATTCCACTGTTGCAGGGATGGCATTATGTCAACACCAGCTGTTTCTGCTGTAATCAGGAAGCAGAAGGCAATTATTTGCATTTCTTTAGCTCTATTTTTGCTGCTAAATTTTATCCTCATTAGTTCTACTCATTTTTATTTTTTCATTTTGCTGATACTTTGATGGTCTTTTTGACAGGCCAATGGTGGATTTATAATGAGTGCAAGCCATAATCCTGGTGGGCCAGAATATGATTGGGGTATTAAGGTGAATTTTTCACACTATGCTTTGGCCCCAATTCAGATGTACATAATGTGAAAAAACCTACCAGCCTTTGTGACCATTTTTCTTTTAGTTGGGTACCTTTGATCTTTTATATGATGTGCATAATAAATATTTGTAACACCTACATTCTGCAGTTTAAATTATGGGGATCAATTTTCTAGTATTGTTGAGAAAAGCCTGGTTTATAATTGTTTGGAAATTACTAAATTGTGTGATTAATATATTAGAAGTCTTTTTTGCTTGCATTGACAGTATTCTGTCACTTGGAATTTACTATTTGATCTTTTCTTAGTTCACATGCCATTTTTTCTGACGTTCATATTTCAGTTTAATTACAGCAGTGGGCAGCCTGCTCCTGAATCCATAACTGACAAGATCTATGGGAATACACTCTCTGTAAGCATATGGTCTGTTTGTCTGCTTGTGCATTTGCTGCTATTCATCCTTCTTTTCCTTTTTCCTTTAAAACATATACTGCTCTGTGCTACCTTGTATTGTTTAAAAAAGTGAAATACCTTTAAATAATAATTTCTTAATATACTAGTTTAGCAGTTCTGTTGGTTCATACACATTCCAATCCAGTCTGTTAGTTTTGGTTATAGTGTGAAATGTTCTTGATGTAGTTGCTTTTGCTTCCTCAAAGCAGGCATGAGGTAGATATTCTGTTGAACTTGTGTTAGGAAAATTTCTGAGGGCCGATTACTGCAGTGAGTGGTAAACTCATCACTTTACTACTACTGCCAGCTGTGCACCTCAATTTGTGTTGATGGGTGGGTTTTTTTGTGCATGCCTGCGGACATGTGTGAATATATTTGTGGATTTCTGTATGCATTTGATGGGACCTAGACAATGAGGGTGTAGGAAAAGTGAAATAAGATAGCGAGTAGAAGATTGAGGGGATGCCAAATTTCCCTATATTCTTCTCTGCCCTAATCTGCTCTCTCCCTCTCTTTTATCCTCCTGCTCTCTCCCTCTCTTTTATCCTCCAGCTCTCTCTCTCTCTGTCTCTCTCCTTAACTGAATTCCTTTGCTGTCCCAATCCCCAATTGCCACCTGTCCTAGCCTAAACCCATGGAAGTTTCCTGCCAACATCCCCTCAATCCACTACTTGCTATCTTATTTCACTTTTCCTACACCCTCATTATCCAGGTCCCATCAGCTTTCAATACCAGCATGACAGTTTTGATTCCAATTTTATTATAATGATTAAAGTAGTGACTGTGTAGCGGTTGTACAATTTGCTGAGAATATGAGTGGCCTTTGTTGGTTCCTCAATTGATTAATTGACCAAGTCGTGACTTTAAGAGCTAGCCTTTATGTAATCAGCATTTCATTTGGTGGTTCTTGACCACTCGTTGAACTGAACTTAACCTGAGCTTATATCTTTTGTTTTCTTTTGTGTTATGTTCTAATGCTTCTGCAAAGTATTCAACTGTTTGCCTTAGTAAATGAATGGGTTCAATTAAAGCTTGTGCTTACTACTTTATATGATGATCAGTCCATTGGAATCTCATCCATCATTTCTTGAGGCCAGTCATTGAGCTTTTGATATATAAAGTTAACGGCAAGAAAAACAGGTCATAGGGTGTAGTTTCTCTTTTATGCTAATTAGTGACTGTTTGGGGTCACCTAAGTAACTGTAATATTTGTCCTTCGTATGCTGAGGAATTTTATGAATAAGATTCATTCTCTGTTGTTCTTTTCATCTTTATTATTGCTGGCAGTAGCTGTCTTTGTCCTTCTTGTCTTATTACTTTAGCCAGGTTGATGCTCGTTTCCCGCATCTGTAGATCTAGTTTATTCATAGACCTCTGCTAGCTAAAAGCTTTTAACTATAGTTGGATGCATCAATCACTGCATTTATTTGAGAATTTATAACCTGACAATGTGCTACCTTTGTGTAAATTTTGAATCATGTAAACATTGTACAGATCTCTGAGATTAAAATGGCCGACATTCCTGATGTTGATCTTTCTAGCCTCGGAGTTACACAATACGGAAACTTCAGTGTTGAAGTAGTAGACCCAGTTTCTGACTATTTGGAGCTTATGGAGGTGGGAAACATCACAGTATTTGACATTCTAAGATCATGATTCATGTATACTTCATCATAGTTGTTTTATTTGTGTGCAGAATGTTTTTGATTTCCCACTCATCAAAAGTCTTCTCACACGACCTGATTTCAGGTATTTTGTTCTCTACCAAGTAGGAATTGCTATTGATTTGGTATTAATAGATAGTTCTGACTTCCTAGCCTGTTTCATTTTTGGTTGATGCACAACTTTTTCTTGTTTACCTTCTAATAGAAATATGGCATGCTAGAAGTGGCAATCACAAAAAATCAGGCTCCTATATGAAAATGATGAACTAGGTCCCAATGCCTTTGGGGACCTTTTTTTCTTTAATGTATGTCTTTATGTGTTTATGAAAAATGCTATAAAGCTTTCCAAAAATTATTTGCAGTCAATGATATAAATCTGATCTCACCACACTGTTCTATTGGGGGCAAGATTTCTAGTTAAATAATTGGTTGCTTGTCACTCTTTTGAATACTGTCCTGCTCTTTATTACTGGCACATATCTGCTGTCTTTGTTCTTCTCTTGGGCCTCTTCTTTTGACTTGTAATAGGGGTAAATTGATGGATGTCAAATACCCACGGGAGGAAAGTGATTCTATTCTAACTTGGGAATATTTATGTCCCACTAGTTTCCTGGCAGCCAAGGTTGAATCTAAAAGTAGCCCCTGATTTAGAACTCAGTGAATATGTAGGGAAGGTTAAAAAAAAAAGCAGAATGGGTTTGATAAGCTCCTAATGAGTTTCAAAATACTTTTGCTATTGACTTATTGATACATGATTCTAGTCTCCAGGAATGCTTTTGTGTTAATAATTCATAGTTTCCTCATGGTTCAAAACTCTTTTATATATCCTTCGCTTTCGATCATGTACTGTCCTCAAGGGTTAGTGAGCCGGAAGGGTTTATTGGTAGATTCAAAGTTGAAACACTTTCTTTGCAAATAAATGTAATAGGTAGGCAGAAACGTCTTAATAGCACCCTAGTTTCAAGAACAAATAGCTGAGGGTAGAGGCAGCTATGACCTTCAGTTAATGTCGAGCTTGATAATCTACACTAGTAACAAATTTCAGGTCATCGCTTGTTGAACCTGAGCTGCCACAATTTCTTCAATGTCTTCATTGATATGCCAAATAAAGAATTACTTGGTAGGGAATTAGAAGAACCTTTTTTGTGTGTAATGGTCATTACTTGCGATTTAAGTATTCTTTAGTTGATTTTCTGGAGTTGGACTCTCACACTGAATGTTTGGTGACAAAATGTTTCAAGGTCTTTTTCTTTTTTGGCCAAAGATACCCAGTGATTTTGAAACTGTGTCAATCATTTCTAAAAATTACCTTGTCACATTTCTATGGAATATAGGAGTTCCCACATAGTGAATTTACTGCTGCGGATGGTTATGATTTTGTGAAGTGAGTGTTCATGACTATTAGTGTTGCTTTTGTTGGAACCAGAATTACTCTGCACACGGTTACTAAATTGGTCGCATCTCTGTCACCGCAATCTTTCTGCATTTTCATTTTGATCTTTTTGATTATTAAGCACCAAAACTTTCTTATCAGTGTAGTTTAGCTGATTTTACATCCACTGTCTGCATTACATCCATGCACATGCCAGATTTACTTGCTCAATAAACATTCAGTTATCTCCTTCCTTTCAAGAATTGTGTGGTATTATATGTTCTATGCATTTTTTATCTCCCAGTTATTTTCTATGGATGTGCTTTTGATTTTCTTTTCATGGAAATGATAAATCTTCTATTTATAGCCTAGTTTTAGTTCTTAATATGATTGAGCCACAGATTCTTAGTCCTCAATTTTATTATCTTGGTATTTAAATTGTAGGTTTATATTTGACGCCATGCATGCGGTTACTGGTGCTTATGCAAAACCCATATTTGTAGACAAGTTGGGAGCTGGATTGGTATGTTGAACACATGAAACATCTTGCATGTACTGTTATTTGCGTATTATTGATGTTCCTGACAGCAAATGTTAGGCATGTCCTGTAGGATTCAATTTCAAATGGGGTGCCTTTGGAGGATTTTGGGCATGGTCACCCTGACCCTAATCTCACGTAAGAGAGTAATTTCAGCTACATAGTTGGCTCATTGCAATTATTGCATAGCATAGCTCACTTTTCTTAAGAAACAGGTATGCCAAAGATTTGGTGAACATTATGTATGGCGAGAATGGACCTGATTTTGGAGCAGCAAGTGACGGTATGTAAAAATTGACCACCAGAGACAGAACACATATTTAATGCTTCTGTTACATATATGGTATACTTTATTTGCAAATTTCTTCAAGGTTATAAACCTGCTTGTGTTTTTTTATGGGAGAAAAATGTAAAAGGAGCTCAATTTTTGAAATTTGATAGTTTTGAATACCAAAAATGTACTTCTCCATGCAGTGATAATATCTGATTCATATTTTCTTATATCCTTGAAACTTTAAAGAATTTCTATAGTTATATTCTTCGTATTATTTCATGGTGATGTTTCACCACAATATATACTTAAAGATTCAAACTTCTTTTTGTCATTTTTGTTCAGGAGATGGTGATAGAAACATGATTCTAGGTAAGGGGTTTTTTGTTACTCCATCAGACTCGGTTGCAATTATTGCAGCAAATGCACAAGAAGCCATTCCATACTTTAAGAGTGGCCCTAAGGTAGGAAGCACAAGCACCTTTCCTTTTCATTTTAATCTTATTAGAACCTAAAATAAATGACGTGTCTTTTCTCAGGGTTTAGCCAGATCCATGCCAACAAGTGGTGCTCTTGATTGTGTTGCTGAAAAATTGAAGCTTCCTTTTTTTGAGGTTAAGCACCACTTGAGTTAATGTGTTACTTTGAACATAGTGTATTGGTAACTGGGTTTTACATACATTGGTTGGGGTGCTTCTTCATAACACAAAATTGATTTTCTTGGATTTAGGTCCCCACTGGATGGAAATTTTTTGGAAATCTTATGGATGCTGGGAAGTTGTCAGTTTGTGGGGAAGAAAGTTTTGGTACAGGTTCTGATCATATTCGTGAGAAGGATGGCATATGGTAATTCTCTATTTGAATTTTTTGGCCACTTGATTAGTGCTGGAAAAGCGCTGCTACATTTACTAAACAAAGGCATGTCACTCAGAAGTGTTTTTTGAATTGGCTAAATGAAGTCTTGTTTGTGAATCATGATGACTATTCAATGTGTTGAAACATGTTTGAGCTTGTCATTATAACACATCACAAGGACAGATAGACACAGACAACTTATCTGGTCATCAATTAGCTAGTGTCACACAACATGTTCCTTTTGTTGATAAATAAGATAAGTTTATTAGGGAACCAACAGAGGTGAAAGCTCCAATACAGTTGATGTTTATAGGCATCTCTCATTAATTTTTTTATTGTTGTTTGTCCCAAACATCTTCTGATTTGGTTACACTTATTAAAGATTCTATTCTTTTCCAATAATGTAGCTCTTCTTGAATTTATTTCTGGTTCATGGGAGGCTATTTCTTGGTAGAGGAGTGCCTCCAAACTCTTGCTGAACCAACTGGGAGGTCTGAATCCCTACCCAGTTGAAGAAATGGGTCTGGGTGAAGAGGGTTTAAGGTTCATTTCAATAGCCGAACTGCCTATCAAATAGTTAGCTGCACAAGACTATAAGGTCCAGAAGCTGATATTTGGAATCCTCATGAAACTAGTAGATATCACCCTCCACACATACATCTGAAGTACACAGCTGATTTGTGGGGAAAGGGTTACACACCTATTTCATTTTATATTTTTACTAGAACTAGTTGAGATTCTAGCAGTTGATCTTATGGTCGTTGTGGAATTTTTTTTTTCTTTCTTAAACTTGATAGGTTTTCAACAATGTTACAGCTCTGCATTTTGGCATTTATGGCCTGTGCAATATTCAACATCAGTTGCTTGGGTTTAGGTCTTCTTATCAGAGTCATATTGTTGAGTCAGCTTGGACACATCCAAATTCTGTAATATAGTTTTAAATCAGGCTAGATTGAGAGTTGAAATTTTCAAGGTAGTTATTTTAGTTTCTTTTATATTCAGTTGTGGACCTGTTCCTTGCTTTACTAGTCCTACATTTACCTCTATATTCTGTTGTACTTCTCTTGTATTAGGTTACCAGATATTTGAGTTGGATGATAAGGCAACTTTTCATTGTTTACATGATCATAAATGATGTTTTCTTTTTCTGAATTGTCACGTGTGCTGGATTATTATGTATGTTTCTTCTTTGTTGCCTATATTGCACTAAATTTCTAATAAGTGGTACTCCTAATTTTCCAAATGACAGGGCTGTACTGGCATGGCTTTCAATTATTGCACAGCGAAACAAAGACAAAAAACCAGGGGAAAAATTGTTATCTGTTGCTGATGTTGTGAAAGCACATTGGGCAACATATGGGAGAAACTTCTTTTCAAGATACGACTATGAAGTAAGCGTCATAACTACATCTTGAATCACATGAAAATTTGTATGGGTTTTACTCCAGTTTCAGTTTAAATTTTCCTGAAAGTGTCAACTGAGTAAGTTGTATCCTTGGTAGAAGTGCAACTCTAATGTGTTTCAATATTTTTCAGGAATGCCAATCTGAAGGAGCCAATAAAATGGTAGAATATCTTCGAGATTTGATCTCTAAGAGCAAGGCAGGTGATAAGTATGGTAAGTTGTACCCAAACATCTATTTTTTGCATAACGTCCTGTACTTCAGGATGTTTGACTGTCTCGAAATTTCATGTTGCAGGAAGTTACACCCTTCAATTTGCAGATGACTTCACATACACTGATCCTGTAAGTTCATGCTCTATACATGTCCGTATTTTGTCTTTAAAATGGTTCTTCCATTAATCTGTTATATTGAATGGTTTAGGTTGATGGAAGTGTGGTCACAAAGCAAGGTGTCCGGTTTGTTTTCACCGATGGATCAAGGATAATATTCCGTTTATCAGTACGCACCCACCTTTGTTTTCCCTCAAAAATCTGAAGGATAGTAATGCAATTGTATGATTTAACCATGAATTTCTTATTGACAGGGAACGGGTTCAGCTGGTGCAACTGTTAGAATGTACATTGAACAGTTTGAGCCTGATGTCTCTAAACACGAAATGGATGCTCAAATAGCCTTAAAACCATTGATAGGTTGGTTAAAACCTCAACTGTGTGAGTTTTTAGTTTACTTGCATAATTTTATTCATTAATTATACGCTCATGTTTCAGATCTGGCATTGTCCGTATCAAAGCTGAAGGACTTCACAGGAAGGGAGAAACCTACAGTCATCACATAAAGTTCCGAGTCTTTTTAAGTTATGGTAAAAGGAAGGACGGGCTGTCATCTTCCTGGGTTGAGCTATCATAAATATTCTCTCTTCAGTTTTGACAGTGCGGTAGGAAATCTGGCATTGCGGAACAATAAATAAATCCATGTAATAATCAAATCATCAAATATGTAGTATATAGCAATAAAATATCCATCTTTCACTGCTGGATTTGATGCTCTTTTCGAACGTGTTTCCTTCTATCAATGGGTAAATAAAAAATTTAAAAATCAGTGGGCTCACTGTTTTGGGCTTTGTTGATAGTTTAAAAAGACGGCTTTGTTGATATACAAAACCCAAAAAGTCTTTCCTTTTTTTTTCTAAGAAAAAGTTAGGGTCAGCAATGATATTAAATTAAAAACCCAATGAGTTGATGGTTAAAGAGGTTTGTTTTATTTTTTGAGTTTTTGGGTTTAAATCTTGAGACTATCTATCATAATAATATTATAACTTACTTGGTCTGTTAGGCTTATAGGGTGTTCAATGGACTTGGGGAATTAGTTGAGATGTTCGTAAACTAGTCTGGATATCTTAGTTACCCAAAAAAAAAATATATATATTAAATTAAAGTAAGTACATGTAAGGTAGAGGGATGAAATAAAATTGAAAGACAAGATTAATCATTTTTGGCATGACTAATGACCCATCTATAGATCAAAGAGATGTAAAAAGGTCATCTCTTTTTCTAAAGACAAACGAGTGGGAACACTGTGCAATGCTGCAAGTTATTGGTTGGATTTATGAGTTAAAGCCACTTGGACGGTCAGCTCATAAAGTTGTATTCACTTACTTGAGTTTATGTAGAAATTGCATGTAGTAGTCTAGGAAGCAATCCAAGTTGAGTAACTAGAATCCACTTTCTACAGTGTTTTTAAAGCTTATAAAATAATGAATGCAAAGCTGAAAGGTCGTTGATGAATTTGAAAGGATGTGAATTATTAAGTCATAAGGAAAGGAAATAGAATGCTAGATTTTGATTGAAATATAGCTGATGAGATTTCCATGATAAAAATTCGTCCAATGGCAACTCCCGACCACCATTTATGGTACAACTAAGACTATATCATGTCCACCATACATGTATAATGGAAGAAACAGACTCAAAGTATTTGCTCTAAAATGCAACCCTAGGTGACATGCATAATGGCACATGCAGCACGCACTGATGAACAATATGAGATGACACATTCGTTGGGTTGGGACACTATTTTTTGGGTCACTTTTTAATAACTTTGTAAGTCGTATCGATCAGTTACCCTCTTGGATAATCCTCTACCTTTCTCAGGATGTGACAATCTCTAACTGCATCTCTTCTTCACGAAAAAAAGAGTTTGCCCAGATGGAGATGGGGACCCTGAAAAAAGTTTGTGCTTTTTTCCACTGCAAATGAAGAGATTTAGGCCTCCTGTTTTAATTAATTTAAGTTAATAATAATGTAGGCAAGGAAATTAATTAATGTTGGTGTTTTATGATTATGAAAAATGAAGGATGATATTTGTAATAGGATGGATATGAAGTCAGAATCAACAGAGTTTTCCACGACTGTGAGAACATACTTTTGATATAATTGCCACATAGTCCGTCTTTTTCTTTAAAGATCCAAAACCAAAATCAATCCGGATTGTCTCTGCTCCCCATTTCTAATGTGATTTAAGTCCTCCACCAGACCCACCAACAAATAATGGTACAGACAAGAGTAAAGCAAGCAATCTTTTAGTGGATAATAAGAGAAATGGAACTGTGTTTGTCCTTAATATAATTTCTTTCTCTCTTTCTCTTTCTCTCACTGTATAACTATACTTGTATATAGATCCAACCTTGTTGGGTCTGTCAATATCATGGGATTTGCTCTTGGAGAGAAACTAAATTTGCCCCACCTTTTTTATCTGCATGTCATTGTGACAACTCCACCATCATGTTAGTTGCCTGTACTCATGGACCTTCATGTCTGCTTTCTTTTTATTTTCTCCACCCACTGTCTCTTGTCTTCTTATCATCTTTCTCCATTTTCACCTACAATTTCATTATTTATCAACTAAGTGATTTCCATTTTGATTATGATTTGAATCAACTCCTACTACACTAATAAAGTTATGATATTTCTAAACCACCTACCCATGTTAAACTAATATTATTATATTCACAAGCCCTACGTGCATTGCTTTTAAATATTTATTATATTCATCAACAAGTGAAAAATGTGAAAATTAATTGCACTAATCATCCACATGTCACTCATCATTTCTAATTTTATTCTTCTATATAGGTTTTCCTCGTTTTCTGTTTGTTTATTAATTCATAAAGGACTAACAGAACACTTACACTATTTCTACAACACTGCTTAGGGTTTAACTATTAAAGTCATGAAAATGACTCTATTAAAGTGATTAAAATACACATTTATGCTTAATAATGTAATCATATTGAGACTATTAAAAAATTAATATATGATTTTTCATGAATAATTTGATTACATTATAAAGCACAAATGGGTATTTTAATTACCTTAATAGAGGTATTTTCATGACTCTAATTGAGGCGGTAATGTTTCAATTATCCTAAAATTCTGTTGACTAATTTGTTTGTGTCGCTAAAGGATGTTTTGAACATTATGTTAAATTATTTTTAATGAGCTTCCCCAAAACTTAACTAATTAGACTTTAACCATCTCCTCATTAATGTTTAGTATGCGTTAATTACCTCTTACATTTCAGTATCTATGATCACCTCAGCTAATAAAAAATACACGCTTAGTCAAGTATATATAACAAATGGAATGTAGTTAATCAACCATATCATATTATCTAGCATTGGGAGACTTAATTTCATCAACGTCCCTAAGTGATCCATTCACAATGTGGATTATTAGGCAGGGTACGTATTATATATGATCTTCTTTGATGTTTAATAATTTAATTTTCTTCATGTTATTAGCCTTCCAGCTCTAGCCTCTAGGTGACTTTTGTTGGTTCGAATATCGTTTTCTTAGACAAACAATGGTACGTAATAGATTCAATTTGTCCCCTTCTTTTAACTGTCTTTCACAACTTGGTAATAATTCAGGCTCACTGTTGGCTACCCTTTTTCAAGATAAATGCTTTCAATTATCAGAACTTACATTTCACAGCTACATTTCTGTCAAGATACATGACTTCATTTATCATCACCCTTCATATTACTCTCAGTGTCATGTCGCACTGTACATATTTCTGTCCGTTTAATGATGTGTATATATATATATATTTAATACTATATAAATGTTTTTTGGTTTATGGATACGAAATGGACCTCGTTAATTAGCTTCCTAAAGTTAAGGGTTTAGAAAATTGTACTACTTTCACACGACATTAAGTGAGGCAAAAGAAGAAGAAAAAAACTATCGACTACCAAAGATAATTAGGCTAATTAATGAAAACAAAAAAGAGGCCGCTAAGTTAAGATGAAACTACAAATGCAGACGAAGGTGGGGAGAATCAAAGAACTCTTATTAATCTCCGTTACAACTGAAGGTTGATTTTTTAGATAAAGATTAACAAGTACAATGTTGTTAATTTAAGATCATCTCCCCATATAAAGAATATTACAAATTAAAGTTCATATATTAAGAAATTCTAATTTCGGAACATAGGAATTTATAATACTCCCCTACGTCAACAAACGTATATATTTTAAAAATAGGAAGAATATTGATCAAGTGGTTAAGGAGGTTTGCTCTATTTCTTGAGTTTTTTGGTTTAAACTTTAAAGTCACCTACCATAATAATATTGTTGCTTACCTAGTCATTTGAGCTTGTAGGGTGTTCAATGAACCATGGAAATTAATTGAGGTGCATGCAAGTTAACCCGAATACTTCGATTACCAAAAAGAAAAAAAAAATAAGTGTTAATTTGAAAGAGAATGCCAAGGCATACAAAATTACTATGTATGCATTTATTTTCTTTTATCTTTCTTAAATGTAATGCTATGTGCATTAACCAAATTGTAGTAATTCAAGTACTAACAGTTGAAATTTTGAATTTTTTTTTTTAAGTTTTTGAGAGGAACTAACATGACAATAAGAAAGGTCTGTCACGCCAGTTAGTACTTGGGTTGTATGATTTTTAGATAGTACACATAATATTATTCATTTCTTAATCATTAATATATGTGTATGGTGAGTTCAATTTTGTACGAAAGTATATGTATACGATGCGTTTTTTATTTATCAATTGCAGTACAATATTGTAATGAGCAATGCTTGGTTTACAAAGACACATACAAAGGGAGCATACAAAGTCAATCTCCACCATTGATTTTCATGATTTCTCTCTCTCTCTCTTTCTCTTTTTCCGTTTTTTCTTTGTTTTTTTCTTCTAGATGATGTCACTTTGTAACCCTCTTTGTATAGGTTTTTGTAAGGATAGCATTTTTCTATTGTAATACAACTAATGTTCATGTACCAGAGAAAGACTACTGTGTCTTACTTTTAAAATTGATTAATTGTGTATAAATGTCACAACTGAAAGTCCAACCCTTTATACAGAGATAGTCGAATATACAATCAATGATTTAAGGTTTTTTATTAGTTTCCCCCTCATACACAGTCCCCGAAATTTCTCAAATAATATTCTTACCTTATTTCTAGTTTCCATTATCTTCGTAATCTTCAAGATTTTCTGAATATAGTTAAAGAAAACCTAAATTAAACAAGTAAAACATCTTCCTTAAATGTCATGTTATTTAAATTATAAATTATTTATGTCACGTTAAAGTAGTTTTCAAATAATTAATTATTTCCAAAAGTTCATGTTCCATATTAATCTTATTTAAAAATTATATTTAGTGGTAATATATGCACCAAACTTGCTGCATCAAGCTTCTCATAAGATATTATTAAACGAAACTTTAAGAGGGAAAAAGTTTAGTTGCTACTAATTGCATGCAACTATGCCCAAGGTCAACTAAAGAAACCTGTAATTACAGTTTAAACCCTACGTTTATAATATCTAAATTCTATTAAAGACGTTGACTTCATCTAAGTAAGTGCTCCAATACATAAATATTAGTTTCCCATTAATTCTCTCCATTAATTCCACAAAAAGAGTCAATACTTTAAGAAGGCTGTTGTCTCCTTTTAACGACGAAAAGACTCGTAACTGCTTCCCTCTAACTCTTCTGTAAGAACCA